AATTCTTCTTTTATTTGACTAGTATCTTTGACTTTAGAATTGCTCATACTGGGAATTAATGATTTAACTTTTCTCTTAAATAGTATCTCAGCTGGAGCTGGAATAAGTTCACTAATTGGAGTGTTTCTGTATTCCATCAAACATTTATTCCAATCAAGACCATCTTCTAAAGCTTTATTTAACATTTTTTTTACTGTTTGTATGGCTCTCTCAACCATTCCATTAGATTGTGCATATACTGGAGACGAATTTACCAATTCCATATCAAAATCCTTAGCAACTGTTTAAACTGCTCTGATGTAAGTTGTCTGCCACCGTCCGATTTCAACACACTTGGAATTCCAAATCTGGCAAATATAGGGACCAATTCTGATATGACATGATTAGAATCAATTTTCTTTAATAATGCTATCTCCACATATTTTGAAAAATAATCTATTACTAAAAGGAAATTCATATTATTAATATGAAATATATCTATACCTACTATCTGCCAACTATCATCTGGAGTTTCACTTGGTCTCATGTACTCTTTACTCTTTGAGTCTTGATATTTTGCACACAACTCACAACTTTTTACTTTTAACTCAATATCTTTATTTATGTTCGGCCAATATACTGCTCCCTTAGCTCTCAATCTACATTTTTGTATAAATAGTTTTGTTTGAAATTACCTACCCCATGAAAAATATCTTTAAACTTTTTATAAATCTCACATTCTAAATTAAATTTATCAGGATTTAATTGACAGATGTCTACTCTATTAATTAGCTTAAGTTCCACACATGAATTTAATCCTAATATTGGTACACAATTTTCATTATTTACAACAAAAAACTCTAAATATTGTTCATCATTTGACTTAATTTTACATAATAAATTAATTTTACCTAAAGCATTAATATCCGTACCTGAATAATTTACAAGTTTTTCTTTGCATCTGTTCACTGTGATAGGCGTTAATCCCACCGCGTTCAACACTGATAATGGAATTACATTGGCTTCTGCTCCCGTATCTAGTTTGAACTGGATCATTTTCCCTTGAACCTGTAGCTCTTCATACCACTGAACCGCTGCATTGGATGACTTGCGCTTTTCACATTTGCTGACATTGCAAAATACTGCTCCTAGACATAGGTCTCCAGAGCTATCAGCTGCAGAAACGATATTGTTTTTAACTGATATTTCTTTAATAGTGCTCGTTTTTTTCGATTTCTTCCAATCATTTTTATTACTGTTATTTGTACCAACAGTAGACTTACATTTTATAGCAAAATGGTTAGGTTTATGACATTTCATACATTCCTGTTGATAAGCTGGACATTTATTGACATCATGTGTTTTACCACATCTTGAACAGTTTTCTATTTGTTTAACTGTCACCTTTTTTACATTTGATTGACCTTGTTTAAATTGTTTATTTTGTTGCTTGCTTAATTTCATTATTAATTTTTCTTCTACAACCGTGCTATTCATAAGTTGTTTTTGATCTTGAGCTGCTTGATATTTTTTAGTTAAATCAATTACTCTTTCTAATGTCAAATCAGTCTCTGACAGAAATTTTTCTTGTAATTTTTTATCAACAATGCCAGCCACTACTCGATCTCTAATAAGACGGTCCTTCATTGTTCCAAAATTACAGTTCTCGCTTAATTTTCTTAGCGCAGAAAGATATTCTCCGAAAGTTTCACCTACTTTCTGTTCACGAATGTTAAATTTGTATGCTTCGACACATTCATTAATTTTTTGCTTATAAAACAAATCAAAGAGTTCAATTGCTTTGTCAAGTTCTGTTACCTCTCCTTCTGTCTCGAATGTATCAAACACCTCTCTAGCGTCCTCCCCTATTATATGTAAGAAGATGGCTAGTTGTTCGTCCTTTTTCTTTTTTGATATACCAGCAGCCACTTTGTATATATTAAAATTCTTTTTCCATTTCGGCCATTCTACATGTGCTTCATGGATATTCAGTTCCTTTGGTGGCTTTAAGTTATCCATCATTATCTCATTGATCTGCACTATTTAATTATTAATGATAATACATACCGACTGCGCCATGTGGTGTTTTTTAAATATTAAATAACAATACTAAAAAACTAATTAACAACATAATTATTTATTTAATTAAATCAAAACATGACATATGAACACTATGTTCAGACTACAGAGGAAAAGTATAATATCACTAACTTTTAAACAACAAAATGATATGATAAGACTAGTTCAGTGAGTTCAGTGTTACCACATCTCCCTTCCTTTAACAAAATATTAAAAAAAACAAAACTATTTATGCAAAACAATATTTAAAAGTACCACATAAATACTAATACACTTAGATATTTTATAATTATTACAGTTACATAATTTTTTTTTTTTTTTATTAACACAATATTTATTTTACTTAACATTAATACAACATAACAACATTATATTATAATAACAACATAATATTATAATTTAATATAACATATTTGTTTTATTAATATTTTGTACTTAATACTAATATAAGCATCCATCCTGTCACTTATAATCCTTAAGATAACGAGGTGTCTTTTTTATTCTTTCTGACTTTTTAATTGACACATTTGTTTTTTTCGAATCATTTTCACTTTCAATATTTTTTCCTACATCATTTACTATTATCCTGTGTTTTAAAAACCTCCTGTTTCTTAATAGTGTTCCCCCATTAATAACTTTTACCTTAAAATTCCTATCATTTGTTCCTTTCTCTATGATTAACCCTTTACTCCAGAATTTGTTTTCATTTCTAATTTGTATCCATACCGTATCGCCTACCTCAAAATGTTCACCTTTTCTTGCTGTTCTGTCATACACTATTTTTTGTTTCTCTGATCTCTTAATTAATTCTTCTTTTATTTGACTAGTATCTTTGACTTTAGAATTGCTCATACTGGGAATTAATGATTTAACTTTTCTCTTAAATAGTATCTCAGCTGGAGCTGGAATAAGTTCACTAATTGGAGTGTTTCTGTATTCCATCAAACATTTATTCCAATCAAGACCATCTTCTAAAGCTTTATTTAACATTTTTTTTACTGTTTGTATGGCTCTCTCAACCATTCCATTAGATTGTGCATATACTGGAGACGAATTTACCAATTCCATATCAAAATCCTTAGCAAACTGTTTAAACTGCTCTGATGTAAGTTGTCTGCCACCGTCCGATTTCAACACACTTGGAATTCCAAATCTGGCAAATATAGGGACCAATTCTGATATGACATGATTAGAATCAATTTTCTTTAATAATGCTATCTCCACATATTTTGAAAAATAATCTATTACTAAAAGGAAATTCATATTATTAATATGAAATATATCTATACCTACTATCTGCCAACTATCATCTGGAGTTTCACTTGGTCTCATGTACTCTTTACTCTTTGAGTCTTGATATTTTGCACACAACTCACAACTTTTTACTTTTAACTCAATATCTTTATTTATGTTCGGCCAATATACTGCTCCCTTAGCTCTCAATCTACATTTTTGTATACCTAGGTGATTGTAATGTATTTTATTTAAAACCTCTTTTTGCAAAGATAATGGTACCACTATTTTATTGTCTTTTAACAATAGCCCGTTGCTAATTATCAATGAGTTACGCACATTCCAATAAGCTTTTAAATTGTCTGGTATTTTACTATAACATGGCCAACCTGATACCACCCATTTTTTTATGACTCCCAAGTCTTTATCCTTCTCTGTCTCTTTTACATATTCATCCAGTTTTGCGGTTGACATAGGAAAATGTTCTAAGGTGCTTTGCATTTCAATTTCTGCTACTTTTAAAACATCATTTTTTTCATCCACATCCTCAATAAATGCTCTTGAAAGTGTGTCTGCTATATACATAAGAGAACCCTTTTTAAATTTTATACTAAATTCATACATTTGAAGCCTAATTCTCATTCTCTGTAATCGTAAAGGTGTATCTATCAATGGCTTCTTGAATATATACTCTAACGGTTTATGATCACTTTCTATAATTATTTTCCTACCATAAATAAACTGATGAAACCGCTCACAACCCCAAACTATTGCATACGTCTCTTTTTCAATTTGTGCCCACCTTGACTGTACCTCTGTTAATGCCTTAGATGCATAAGCAACCGGCAAGTTATCTTGAAGCAGAACCGCGCCTACTCCATACTGTGAAGCATCAACAGATAATATTATTTCTTTATTTGGATTGTAATATTGCAAAACCGGAACCTTACATAAATCTTCTTTTACTCTATTCCACATATTTTCCTCATTTATGCTCCACTGAAAACTAGAATTTTGTTTTAAAAAATCTCTCAGTGGTTTTGTTTTGTCTGATGCATGGGGTATAAATTTTGATATATAATTATACATTCCTAAGAATCTTTCAATATCTTTCTTACATTTTGGTTGTGCCATTTCTTTAATTGCCTTTACCTTATCAGGGTCTGGCCTAACTCCAGTGTTTGAGAACTCATGACCAATAAAAATTAATTTACTAACCGCCCATTCACACTTATCTTTATTTAATTTAACATTATTTTTTTCCAATCTATGTAGAACATTCATTAATCTAGACTTGTGTTCTTCTTCGTTTTTCCCAAAAACTAATATATCATCCATGTACACCTGCACTCCTTCAAGACCTTCTAACAACTGAGAAAAATGTTTGTAAAATATCTCTGGTGCTACATTCAGCCCAAAAGGAAGTTTGCGAAAACAATATCTTCCAAACGGAGTATTAAAAGTTGTTAGTTTAGAGCTTTCCTCACTTAATGAAATTTGATAAAACCCTTTTTTCGCATCTAGTCTACTAAAAATACATGCTTCTGACATTTTACCCATAATCTCTTCTACTGTGGCCATAGGAAAATGTTCTCTTTTTAAATTTTTGTTTAAATCCTGTGGATCTAAGCAAATTCTCAACTCATTATTAGGTTTTTTAATTACTACCATAGAATTAACCCACTCTGTAGGAACATTAACTTTTTTAATTATGCCCATCTTTTCTAATTTATTTAATTCATTTTTTAATTGATCTAATAAAGAAATAGCAAATTTTCTTGGTGCATGTGTTACTGGTTTAGCATCACTTTTTAGTTCTAAATTATAGTTTTGTTTGAAATTACCTACCCCATGAAAAATATCTTTAAACTTTTTATAAATCTCACATTCTAAATTAAATTTATCAGGATTTAATTGACAGATGTCTACTCTATTAATTAGCTTAAGTTCCACACATGAATTTAATCCTAATATTGGTACACAATTTTCATTATTTACAACAAAAAACTCTAAATATTGTTCATCATTTGACTTAATTTTACATAATAAATTAATTTTACCTAAAGCATTAATATCCGTACCTGAATAATTTACAAGTTTTTCTTTGCATCTGTTCACTGTGATAGGCGTTAATCCCACCGCGTTCAACACTGATAATGGAATTACATTGGCTTCTGCTCCCGTATCTAGTTTGAACTGGATCATTTTCCCTTGAACCTGTAGCTCTTCATACCACTGAACCGCTGCATTGGATGACTTGCGCTTTTCACATTTGCTGACATTGCAAAATACTGCTCCTAGACATAGGTCTCCAGAGCTATCAGCTGCAGAAACGATATTGTTTTTAACTGATATTTCTTTAATAGTGCTCGTTTTTTTCGATTTCTTCCAATCATTTTTATTACTGTTATTTGTACCAACAGTAGACTTACATTTTATAGCAAAATGGTTAGGTTTATGACATTTCATACATTCCTGTTGATAAGCTGGACATTTATTGACATCATGTGTTTTACCACATCTTGAACAGTTTTCTATTTGTTTAACTGTCACCTTTTTTACATTTGATTGACCTTGTTTAAATTGTTTATTTTGTTGCTTGCTTAATTTCATTATTAATTTTTCTTCTACAACCGTGCTATTCATAAGTTGTTTTTGATCTTGAGCTGCTTGATATTTTTTAGTTAAATCAATTACTCTTTCTAATGTCAAATCAGTCTCTGACAGAAATTTTTCTTGTAATTTTTTATCAACAATGCCAGCCACTACTCGATCTCTAATAAGACGGTCCTTCATTGTTCCAAAATTACAGTTCTCGCTTAATTTTCTTAGCGCAGAAAGATATTCTCCGAAAGTTTCACCTACTTTCTGTTCACGAATGTTAAATTTGTATGCTTCGACACATTCATTAATTTTTTGCTTATAAAACAAATCAAAGAGTTCAATTGCTTTGTCAAGTTCTGTTACCTCTCCTTCTGTCTCGAATGTATCAAACACCTCTCTAGCGTCCTCCCCTATTATATGTAAGAAGATGGCTAGTTGTTCGTCCTTTTTCTTTTTTGATATACCAGCAGCCACTTTGTATATATTAAAATTCTTTTTCCATTTCGGCCATTCTACATGTGCTTCATGGATATTCAGTTCCTTTGGTGGCTTTAAGTTATCCATCATTATCTCATTGATCTGCACTATTTAATTATTAATGATAATACATACCGACTGCGCCATGTGGTGTTTTTTAAATATTAAATAACAATACTAAAAAACTAATTAACAACATAATTATTTATTTAATTAAATCAAAACATGACATATGAACACTATGTTCAGACTACAGAGGAAAAGTATAATATCACTAACTTTTAAACAACAAAATGATATGATAAGACTAGTTCAGTGAGTTCAGTGTTACCACATGTGGTGTTTTTTAAATATTAAATAACAATACTAAAAAACTAATTAACAACATAATTATTTATTTAATTAAATCAAAACATGACATATGAACACTATGTTCAGACTACAGAGGAAAAGTATAATATCACTAACTTTTAAACAACAAAATGATATGATAAGACTAGTTCAGTGAGTTCAGTGTTACCACATCTCCCTTCCTTTAACAAAATATTAAAAAAAACAAAACTATTTATGCAAAACAATATTTAAAAGTACCACATAAATACTAATACACTTAGATATTTTATAATTAT